TTTTTTTTTTTTTTTTTTAATGTTTTTCTTAAGGAGATCAGCAGAATCCAGCTCCAGCTGGACAGGTTGATTATACTAAGGCCTGGGAAGAGTATTACAAGAAAATGGGTATGTTCTACATTTCTTTTTTATACATTTAGTTAAATTGAATTTGAAACATTTAATAAATCTCACTAGAAGGATGAAGATTGTTATAAAACCATGTTTGCATTATGTTTTTGTTACTTGCACTTTGTTTTTAACTTTTAATATCTTGAAGGGAATATCGGATGTGTTCTTTTTTTTTAATGTTTATATTTAAGAGAGAGAGTGTGTGGAAGCGAGGGAGGGGTACAGAGAGAGAGAGACAGAATCTGAAGCAGTCTCCAGGCTCTGAACTGTCAGCACACAGCCTGACACTGAGCTCAACTCACGAGCCGTGAGATCATGACCTGAGCTGACGTCAGACGCTTAACCGACTGAGCCACCCAGGCACCCCTGAATGCATTCTAAAATCACTGATTCTAAAAATACATAATTCTTAAAATTGTGGTTATATAACAAGGAAATCCTTTTGTTTCTAAATGCATTTGTCAGCCACAATAATTAAAACCAAAAGTTCCACTGTTGCCACCTATGACCCTGAATATTACTTGTACTTTTGTCAAAGACAGTTACATATATCAGTAGCCTGAATGGCATAGGTTAAATTCTAGAGAGCCAAACAAAAATCGGTTGTGTGGTATTTTCTGCTGCACAGTAACTAGATAAATAACCTACAGGGACATAGGATGTTAGTTACTTAAATAACATTTGCATATAGGAGAAAGGAAAAGTTGTACTCTAGATAAAGGTCATTTCGATTCGGTAACTGTAGAACACATACTACATACCAAACAGTGATAGATGCTGAGAATGTGATTGTGAGGGTAAACAGGTAGGAGCCCCTGACCTTCTGGTTATTATATTCTCATGGAGGATACAATTGTTAATCAAGTGTTTTGCTAAATATATTACTACAAATGGTTACAAATGAAAACTGTACTTCTACTAACAGTTGAAATGTACAGCCACTAAGTGGTAGAACCAGAATTTGAACTCCCAGGAGGGCCTAAACTCCAAGCCCATCTCCCAGATTTGTTTTTTTCTGGGACTATTTGGAACTTCATATTCATTTGACCCTTAACATAGGTTTGAATTTTATGGGTTTACTTATAAGTGGGGTTTTTTTTTTTTAGAGTATTCTATAAATGAACTTTATGATTTTCTTCTTGTTTGTCTAGCTTACTTTATTGTAAAATACAGTATATAATACTCAAAATGTGTGTTAGTCCACTGTTTATGTTATCTGTAAGGCTTCTGGTCAAAGGAGACTATTAGTAGTTAAGCTTGTCCAAAGTCAAAGGTTGTATGTGGGTTTTCAACTCCACAGAGGTCTGTGCCCATTAACCCCTGAATTGCTCAAGGGTCAGCTGAACAGATAGTAGTTTTTGTTTTTAGAAGGTTATGGTGTCATTTGAAATTGACCCATGTACACTACAGCCACTTGTCACAAATGAAAGCCAAACAGATAAACTCGTCCATTCTTCCCAGGTATAGAATGAATGTATAGATGGTAGAAATTTATCATAGTATACAGTCTGTTTGAGATTTTCAACATAAACTTCAGTGTTTCTTTGCCTGTGAGTGTTTTGTCGTCTTCACAGAAAGAAAATTTTCCAGAATGGTGATATTAAATTTTCTTTTGTGTAGGATACGTTTACTTCATGATAAGGATGTTTTATGCAGCTTATTTTCTATTTAAAGAAAGAAAAATTGTTTTTCCTGTTAGTATGACTTTCCATGCTACATTCCTGAGGCTAAAACAGATTATGTTTTTGTGACCCATCTTCTCTCAGGCAGGTCTACAACAGCTAAAATTCTGCAAAAAAATACTTTTAAAAAACTTTAATCTCAAAGCAGTATACTCTAATTAGGGTGATTACATAATTTATCCTGACTGGGATATACTTTTGAGAATAACTGAGAATGCTATTAATAATCATCCCATGATAGTGGTCAGGACATATGGTCACTTTAACTTGTATGAAATAGTGTCACCATTGTAAAAATTTGAGCATGTTGCAATTAAAAATCGCTGGGTCTGACTTAAATTTTCACCATGGTTAATGTGCCAGAGATGTTCCCTATGTTAATATTAAAAATAAGTAAAAACAGGCCTGTTTGTGGACTTAGATAATTATTGGGGAACTGGTGAAACTTGTGTTTTATTGTATTTTATCATTCATTTGCAGCACGTTGATAAATTTATGGTTTGGTTTTTCTACCTTTTATTTGCCCAGAGTGAGCAGGTGTGTTGAATGTAATCTGTGAGGTCTTAATACCATTCAGATTTTTTTTTTCTCAATTATGTGTTTTTCTGTAGCACTATAGTGATCAGCTGTTAATTTTTTTGAGCAAAAGATAAGTTGAATGATTATTTCACATATAAATCTTAAGGGAAATAATAATAAATTGCCAGGTCTCTAATCCTGGCTAGCAAGTCAATTTATTTTGTCCTATAGAAGTTCTTTTTGCAAATGAGTTGTTGCTTAACTACCTTAATTTCTTCTGGGTGCATTACTTGCCAGATATTGAAGCATAAGACTAATATAATTCAGTTTTCAAGATTTTGTTTAAGTAATCTCTATGTCCATTGTGGGGCTTGAACTCACAACCCTGAGATCAAGAGTCATGTGCTCTACCAAGGCAGTTTTCAAGATTTGTAAATAAAAGGGAAGAAAGTAATAAGATATTAGGGAGATAAAAATTTTTATCTCCAAATCCAACTATCTTATTTGGAGAGGCCAAGTTGAACTCTTACAGTGGCAGAGCTAGGATTTTCTAGGACTCTGGACATCCCAGTTCCCAATCTAGTAACCTCTTTACCAAACTGGGCAGGCTGTCCCAGCTTCTGAAGCCAAATCTCAGCTTTGCCTGTTAAGGACAGAAAATATCCACTAACGTTATAAATGTGTCGTTGTTTATAAGTAAGTAAATCTCTTAAAACAGGAGGGGTTTTTTTTTGTTTTTTGTTTTTAATGTTTGTTTTTGAGTGAGAGAAAGAGCGAGACACAGAATCCGAAGCAGCTCTGAGCTGATAGCAGAGCCTGACACGGGGCTGGAACCCATGAGCTGTGAGATTGTGACCTGAGCCGGTCGGACACGTAACTGACTGAGCCACCCAGGAGCCTCAAGTTAAGTTTTTTAGTTAGTTTTGTTTTCTGAAACAGTTCTGAATTTCGTAGGATTAATATCAAGAGAATTTAGGAGAGAAATTCACAAAGATGAGATTATAGAGGGTTAACAAAGGAAATTTTAAGTGTTACAAGGAATGGCAGTAAAGCTCGAAGAGTGGGTATTTATGGAGCTAGAATGAGGAAACTTTTGTAATAAGTAAACAGATCAAACTGGATTTCAAAGTAGACAGGCAGTTCCCATTTGGAAGAGGGCAGGTGAAGGCATTTTTTGGAAAAGTTTGACTTAGAGAAAGGCTCTTACAATATTAAGTACTGATGTGGTGGACTCTGAGCCTTTGGCATATGGTACCTTAAGGGGAAAGGGTGTGTAGTGAGGAAAATGGTTGTGGGAAAGAGGCAGGTATATAGAGCGATAACTTGTAGTGACATCTATTCAAGCAGGTTTGGCCATTGGGCTGTTATATGTGAACTCTAGGGCAAGTCTTACCTCTTGAATGAAATGAAAGTCAAACCTTACAAATGGTGAATCTACATGTAAATGTTAAGTGATGTTCTAAAATATAAACTAAACAGGCATCACAATAGTTCTTGAACTAAGAAGGATAAAGGGAGCAAGCTAAAGTACATTCCTAAAGGGGGCAGAGAGGCAGAAGAGGCTAGGGGAGAGCCAAGTAAGTCCTAAGCAGATAGGAAGAGTTATTTTCCAGCAGGGCAAAACTTGCCCCTCATGTTGGAGGAGTGAGATGACTTTTTCTTTGGACACCTTCAAGATTGGAATGTGAGGTGTTTACGACTTACCAAGTGCTTGATTTTCTTATAGTCTGACATGTTTACCCTTCACTTTCCACAGAAATATTTGAAATGGGAGAGTAGGTAACATTTGAATTGGATGAATTTTCTTAATGTGTCTCTGTTTCTACCATCTTATATTGTAATTTTGCCTCTAAAATGAATATCTCTTAACAATGATGTTCAGTCCCTTTTTGTAAACCTGAAGTAGAAATTGTTGCTGTCTTAACCGAGTTTGGCCTCAAGTCAGCAGGTTTTCAAGTGTACAACTTGTAAGAGACATTGTGTGGTTTTATTACTCTTGATACCCTGGGATACTTGGGAGTTGTCTAAATACTGAAACCTATTTCAGATTTGTTTACATTGTGTCTCCTCATTGGATCAGTATGTTAAACTCATTTCCTCTTTGAAAAGAATTCTGGAAAACAAAACTAAGAATTTTGTTTATATTACATGGGATTTCTCTGTTGCCTATAGAAGGGGTTTTTTTTCTTGGATTTTTAAAGTTACTCATAAAAGTTAAAATTCTATTCACTGAGTTGCTTTTGATTCTTCAATTTTGTGATTGATGGTGATAGCCTATTTTCAGCAACTATACAGAGTTCAGCTATACAAAGTTGGCAACATCCAACAAACATAAAAAACAACTTTCCCTGTGTCTGTTCTCTAGTATTTTTTTTTTTTTTTATTAAAAAAAATTTTTTTTTTCAACATTTATTTATTTTCGGGACAGAGTGAGACAGAGCATGAACGGGGGAGGGGCAGAGAGAGAGGGAGACACAATCGGAAACAGGCTCCAGGCTCTGAGCCATCAGCCCAGAGCCTGACGCGGGGCTCGAACTCACGGACCGCGAGATCGTGACCTGGCTGAAGTCGGACGCTCAACCAACTGCGCCACCCAGGCGCCCCATGTTCTCTAGTATTTTTTATCTAGCTATAATAATTTCACCAGGCAAAGTAATAAGCTATATAAAATTCTGCTCAAAAAAGGGAGCTCAATAGGAAAACACATGTTCTTCCTCCCCAACTTTTTATTTTATAAATTTTTATACCTTGATAAAATCAGAAAAATCATACAGTGAACACCCATATTTATATTTTCTATTCAAATTCTACATTTTTAAAAAGTTTATCATATGTAATTTGTGTGTGTATATATGTATTTTTTGTGCCTCAGCCTTTACAAAGTAGGTTGCACACTGTTGTAAATAAATTATTTCAGTAATATCAACATATAGACCATATTTTCTTTGGTTGTCAGAAAAATGTCTCTTGTGGCTGTGTGTGTGTATGTTGTCTTTATTTTAATCCAGAGCCCATTTAAATTTTGTGCGTTGGATTTGGTTAATTCTCTTTAGTCTCTTAATTACCCTGCTTAAAAAAATACCTGCTCATGAAAGCTGTTGAGTTTTGTGTTTGATTGATCTTGTTCCTTCAAATGTCTTTGGTAATTGTTCTTTATGTTCTTTGTCATGTTACTTTTAATAAAATTGTATTGTGGTTTGAACATATATTAAAATTTTAAACATCTTATTATTAAAGAGTATTTTGATGGTTAGTCTTCGTACACATAATGTATAGGTCACAAATCAGGAAACAAAGATCTTGACCGTATCTTAAAATAATGAAGTCTTTAATAGATTTCACATGGGTTTTTTGTTTTTCAAAAATGTTCTTTTCCTCCATCAAAGATTTACATTTTATTTAAAACCTGTAGTGTAACATCCAAATGAATAAGACAAGAAAAAATAGTGGTCTCCCCCCTCCCCACACCCAGCATCACCATCAGGGAACCATAGATTGTTTACTTGAAATACTTGCCAAACTCCGTTTAGAACATTAATATTTATAAATTCTGTAATTGAATCCAGATTATGCCTAAATCATTGCCTTTCTTGTTAAAACTATGTGGATGGTTTTGATTTCGCTTTTTATTAATAGTAATGCTTTAGAACTAAAAGTTACGATTAATGTAAGGCAAAAAGAAACAGCATTCTGATTTCTTTAATTACAGAGTAGTTTTCTGACACTAATGAATAAGATAAAACAGGAGCAATTCTGACCCTCTGTGCTTGTCTTTGTAACCTGTACTTACAGTGGATATAATTTTGTATTAAAATTTAGGGGGTTTTTTTTAGGTCAACAAGGGCAGACACAAGATTATTCAAAAGCTTGGGAGGAATATTACAAGAAGCAAGGTATTGTTTTTATTAGAAATGAGATTCTTTTGGGCTTTTAATTGTGGTTACAGCAACAAAGTTGTTCTGTTTTCTCAAAGGTCAAGCGGTTCCTGCTCCTACTGGTGCTCCACCAGGTGGTCAGCCAGATTATAGTGCAGCCTGGGCTGAGTACTATAGACAACAAGCAGCCTACTATGCCCAGACAAGTCCCCAGGGAATGCCACAGCATCCTCCAGCACCTCAGGTATACTAAACTTGCTAATGTGTTGATTTCTACTCCAATCATGTTTTCTGCATGTTTACTGTTTTGTCTGTTTGGGATTATGTTTGCCTTTAAAATTTTTATCTGGCATAGCATAACTAAATGAAGTACTGTGATGTATTGTTTGGGTTTTTTTGTTTGTTTTTTTTATAATGCTTTCTGGCATCTGAGTGCTGAGTATTTCTACAGTGCCTCTGATTTTAAAAATAAATTTTTTTCCCCCAGGGATTTGCAAATCATGCAAGAAGCCACCACCATTTATATTAACCAGTTTTTCTTTCTTAAAGGATTCACTCCTGAGTTAGCTCCATTTAAAGGATTTTCTTTAACTTTTTGTGTATTTCTTATGTATCTCTTCTGCACAGGGCCAATAATAAGAAGTGGACAATACAGTATTTGCTTCATTGTGTGGGGGAAAAAAACCTTTGTTAAATATATGGATGCAGACGACTTGATGAAGATCTTAATTTTGTTTTTGGTTTAAAATAGTGTTTTTTTTTTTTTTTTGAAAATGTACAAAATATCTATCACTACTGATAGGAGGTTAATATTTCTGTGTAGAAATGAAAATTGGTTTGTTTTTAGTATTTAGTGTAGATGTACACATTCCAGCAAATGTATTTGCAACTATTATGTGGTCAATGCTTTGTGATATAAATGTACTTTTTCAATGTATACTTTCACTTTTAAAATGCCTGTTTTGTGCTTTACAATAAATGATATGAAACCTCCTGTGTCGGTAAGTTGGATATGTGGGTATTTAAAGGATTCATAATTTCTTAGCAATGATAAATTAAGATACATATACACAAAATATAAGCTTTCCCCATGAAATATTAATTGAGTTTTTAAACACTGGCATGTTTTTTCCCCCTTGCAGTATAGTAGTAGATTGGAGGATCTTTTCCATTTATTGTATTTGGCTGTTTCAGCACAAGTAATCCTGATATCTTCATTTTTTTTTCCTTCTGTTTGATTCAAAACTGCATGTGTGTACAGTGATCTTTTGGCATACTTCCATTGCATTAACAGTGAAATTTCCTTTTATACATGACCACTGTTTCAGATCTGTACTGCTGCTATAACAGTTAACCTTTCTGTTCTTAATTTGATAATTACTTCGATTTCCAAGACTGTTTCAGCATAACTAATTTTAAACAGTTTTCGGATAGTGAATATGAGTAGTTGAATAAGAAGTTTTTTCATGTAAAGAAACTTTCAATGTATACAATATTAGTGTGTTTCTTTTTAAATTTAGGGTAGAAAAGTAAATAGTATGCAAAAAGTATAGCTACAGTGCATCTGCCATTGAAACATTATCGGGGTATGGAAATGTTCAAGCTTTTTTCTTTTTTTTTTCTTTTTGCAGTATAGTTAAGCCTTGTTTTATAAATGCACAAGTCCAATCATTGAACCAACTTAATTTTTTATGTACTTGAAATCACTTTATTACCCTATAACACTCATGCTGAAGTTCTGATATTTTGTTGAAATCCATTGTTTTACTCTTTGCATATTTGTTGGCTCTTTGCATATTAATATATTAGACTACATGCAAATACAGTCTGTCTTGCCATTGTCTGTTGAAGTGCAGGTTTGATCCAGCCAGTATAGAACTAGCTCTGTAGGGGTGAGGAGGACTGTGCTGTGTATCATCCTTGATTGTGTTCCTTCAAGGAGCATTGCACTGTAAGTACATCAGAATGACAAATTGATGAACTGCAACAGTATCTTTTTGTCAATGTTCCACATAATGTAAATGCCATACTTTGTGTGAATATTATGTTGGAATACAGTGCTGATATCTTGGAAAACCATAACTGCTTCTTAATTTAACATAGAGTAATACATAGGTCTGTATTTTTTTTTAAGTGAGCTTAATGGGTAAGTATTTTTGATATGCTTTAGCTATAGCTAAAGAAAACTGATCATTAAAATTGAATAGTATTACTCATTGGTGCTCCTAAAATATATTGCTTTTCAGTGTACAGTATGCATATCTTCTATATTAATATGAAAGACTTGAAATGTGTCAGACAGAAGTGGTTTTCAGTTTGCAAATATTAAGCAATGTAGCAGTTTTAACACCATTTCATAAATATATATATACATATATATATATATTCTTTTCATTGGTGGGGAGCACCAGTTCTGAATATACTATAAAGGAAGATGTACAAGGACATAAATGTTGAGATTACTTATAGGGTAGAAAATAGCAGTTCAGTTCATTATAGATATTTGAAATGTTTTTGATTGTTTTATAGAACCTGGAGTGACTTCCCTTGCCCTTATTTAGATATGGATATATAGTTCTAGTTTGAAGTTTAATAGTTAAGGAGTTAGTTATGTGTTACCTTTAAGAGTAGGGTTATTGACATGAACAATTTCAGTATTTTGCATGATACTGTTTTATAGATGACCTTTTAGGAAAGTGGTGCATTTATTGATTAAACTGAAGAAATAGCTCAGTTGGATTCAATATCATAACTCACAAATTGGAGGCTGTTGATTTTGATTCATTTAAGGTTTAAAATCTTTATTAATTGCAAACAGTGCAATTATTTATACTTCACAGTGCCTTCCCAGACCTTCCACCTTAGGTTCTGCTGCAAAAAGCAACAGGTAAGCACAACCTAAGGACATATATAAATAAATATTTCAGTACATTAATGTTGTCCCTGTGAGGTTTTTGTGGTTGTGTATTCAAAAGCAATCTGCTACTGCTTCCCCAAAATGTATTTTGTTATTTATGCTACCATTTCAGTGGAAAGTCTGTAAGTTGTTCAAACAACTGTTTACATTTCTGGGTAATGTTTTTTATTTTAATTTTTTTATTAAAACAAGAAAAAAGAAATGATGAGTAGATTGCTGCTATAATTGAACTACATCCAAACTTTTTGCAATCTTTTCCCAACTACAGAAGAATTGTTAAGAAAGGGCAGTTAACATAGTTTTCGAGATTTAGGAAATCACTTGGTTAGAAACTTCAACAGCCTTCACAAGCTTTTTATGATTGACAGGTTGACAGGACATTTTCTTTCTTTGCCCTCCAAAGCTATATGGAGTTTATTTTTTTCTTATTCTTGAAGTATAACAATTCAGTAAGGACATTATGGGTCAGAATTTTATTACGAAGTTTTGTTTTTTTTTTAAGACAATTCAGTTTTCGTAACATACACTGAAAAAGGAAAATATAAGGAATACTGGCAGTATGTTTTGATAAGGCATGTGCATCAGTGAAATGTTAACTGTATAGCAAATAACCTTTCATAATCTGTATAGCAACCAATATTTTTCTGATTTATAATACTTTAATAATTGACGCTGCATTTTACTTTTTTTGCCAGTTTAAAATGTTTGTGTTCTTATAGATGATTTTAACTGGTACATATTTTGAGTTAAGATGAATGTATTAAAGCAGCATCCTATCAGTTTTGTTTATTCAGTTTCTAAAATGTGCTGATCCTTTTAAAACTCCTGCTTATCTCTACAACAAAGAAAAATATTCAAAAATACTGCCTTCATTTTCACACACAGTGCTGAAGATGCTGCAAGCACCAAATCATAGCTCATAAAATCAGGTCCTGAGATAGTTACCCATAAAGAGGAATCCTTTGAGTGTATGCCATTGGTGAGCCGATGAGCATGGACCATAGAAGGGCTCAATGTAGAAGGTAAAATTGGCAAATCATAATTGAGAAATATGAAATGTATTCCCATACATTGGTATAGGGTGTAATGTACCTGCTTTTGATCACTTTTCATTTTAAAGTGCTATTTGCTTGATCTTAAATGTTCCATGAACTGTTAAATTTTGTAAGTTGTGTAGTTAACTGCACCACATTTATGTGTGTGTGTGTGTTGTTTTAATAGTCAATGATAGGTATGTTAAGACTGATAATATAAAGGAGATCTTTGAACCTTAAGGAGCCTTTCAACTTTTGGTTAGCTGTAGTTTGCATTTTTATAAAATAATAGATGAATGCTAATAGATATTGGGGCATTGTTTCTATCTCAAGAGTTTTTTTAACTCATTACCATAAGCCTTCACTGATAACTGCATTTTTAAAATGGCGCTAATCTTAACCTTGAAATAAATGGAAAGCAGAAAAGGTGAGCCAGTTGACTTGAATGCAATGGATGTTAGGAGTGGTAGAAACAATGTTTAGATTGAAATTGAACTGATTTATTTTATTTAGCACTTAAAAACTTGACAATGTGTTTGTTTTAAGATATTTTAGTGTGGTGATACTTAGAATTCTAATGGGTTTGATGTTTCTTTTAGAAATGAAAAGTATACTTTTATTTTTAATTAACAAAAATGGTTTTAATACTAAAACTAGTGATTTAATACTAGTTGTTTATAAACATTGTAAAATACTTCCTTAGCCAAATACCTTGGTAGTTAATTCAAAAGGGTGGGTTTGGGTAGGAGTAGCAGAGTAAACTTAAGCGGGAAATAGGAATATATGCAGAAGTGATTACGTTTGTTTGAGTGCTCTGCCAGGAGAACCAGTTCTACCTGTGAACATCTGTTGTCTAGAGTAAGGATGTAGAAATTATCAATGAGGATGTCTTTATTTTCTGAAAATTCTGCCTCATTTTAAAATGTATTTTAACAGTACCTAAAGATAATTTTGACTCTGAAAATAACCTTTATTTTTGTTTAGTCACTTGAGTTATCTTGCCACAGTATAAACTTCTGAGGGATTTAAATTGGTGCTTTTAAAAAAGAAGCAAATAAATCCCAAGGTTTTATTTTCTTCAGTGATAGCCCTATAGAAACTCATAAATGTATTTGCGCATATATATATATATATTTTTTCTTATGCATGCTCAATGCATTTTCGTCCTGAGAAAAGTGTTCTCTACAGAAACTACCCGTGTGTAAAAAGAAGATTGGCTTAAAATGGCTACTGTGATGGGAACAGTGTCTTAGGGAGATGCAGCTTGGACTTGAGGTAAATTGAATACTTTACAAACTGTGGTTTAGAGTTTGCTTTAATGACAATGTATGTAAAAGGGCACATGATTGCTGTAATTTTGTATTGATTATGGTTTCCTCAATAAAAAAATAATAAATGTACATTGATGAATATTATAAGGGAGTGTTTTGTTTCTTTTCTAAAATATTGAAAAGACTTTATTTTAAATACACAAGTTATTTTATTATGGGTTTACATTGTAAAATAAAATTGTCTTCCAGAAAACTAAAATATAAAACAACTTGGTAATAGAACATGGTAATTAATTATTTACAAACTCAATTTAGACCAGATTTTAAAATTGAAGATTGTGCCTTTTTTTCCCCCCTTCTTAGACCTCAAAATCTTCAATTATGTTGAAAGTGTTTTCTCCTGCATGAACTACTGATACAAAGTTTTTTTTACTAAAATATAATTTGTTCAGGCAAGGTCACAACGTAAATTTGCTTTAGAAGCTTGAATATAACACACCTTTGAATAGTACATGTTAATAGTCTCAACACTCAGAATTCTATATAGGCAGTGGTTTCCATTAAATTTTCTTAAAATTTAGTCTTAACTTTTGTTCTCCATGTTCCCCCTTTTCCCTCTGTGCTTCAGAAAGACTTTAAAACTACAACAAGAAAAATGACTATTAACGAAAACTCAGTAGTTTCCAAATTATGAAGTCTCCATTAATTTTAAGTGTATAAATAGCTCATAAACATTTTTTCATGCAAAATAATGTTTTATTTGTGATCTTTAAAACGTAATTGCTATAAGCTTAGAATAATTGAGTAACTTTTCCACTCTACCCCATTAAATACACATTAACTTCACAATATGGTGATGAATCTGGTGATGATTTGGATAGGAAGAAGGTATTCTTTAGATGAGCTTGTGTTTTGAAGACTGTTAGGAAAAGGAATAAAAAGTCAATATAGTGGCACTTCTGGTTTCCATTTTTGGCCCCGCCACAGAAAACATGGATGTAGTAAGAAATCGGGGGGGGGGGGGGGGGGGGGGGGGGGGCAGAGAAAGTTCCAGGGAGAGGGAAGGGGAGCTAGTAGTCGTCAGCTAAAAAAGAGAAGAAGAAAAGTGATTTTTTTAAAGGAAAAAAAAATTTAAATACAATAAAAGTTCTAGATTAAAAATGATTAATTCTTACTTTCAATTGTAAGAATACAGGTACTAGCTGCAGAGCCTTTGTTGTTGACCGCTTTACACATATATTCTCCTTCATCTTCTGGGAAAGTTTCTGGTAAATAAAGGCAGTAAGTTTCTCCTCTTTCAATATATTGATAGTCTTCTCCATCTTGCAGTATTTCTCCTTCAAACCACCATGTAATTTCTGGTTTGGGTTCTCCTGTTACTTTAACAGTAAATCTAACTGGCTCACTGTCTACAACTGATGTGTTTTTTAGAGGCCTCTTGAACCATGGAGCTCCTGATCTCGTTTGCTCCTCATCTTCAATAGTGGAACCATTCATGATGCTACCACCTTCTTCTTCCTCCTCCTCTTCTCTTTTCTGTATTAAAATAAGTCTATTCAAGTTGGCATTTATAGTAGCATTTTTAGGACAATGCTTTAGTAATAGAATTTTATGGATAAAAGGGTTTTTTCTTCCCAAAGAACATGTAAATGTGCTTACTACAATTATGTACTTTATAAAATATTCCACTGACTTGAAAGCTATTAAAAATTACTTTAGGGCACCTGGGTCGCTCAGCTGTTAAGCATCTGACTTTGACTCAGGTCATGATCTCACAGTTCTTGAGTTTATTCCCACATTGATTGAGTTTCAACCCCACTCCTCCCTCCCTCACTTTCTCTTCTCTCCCCTTCCCCCCACCTTGCCAAGCCCCTTGTGGGATTCTCTTTCTCATCCCCTCGCTGACTTGCGTCCTCCCAAAATTTTTTTTCCTAATCCCCCATAAAATTTCAAGAGCATCTTTGAAAAATAAAGGACATGTAAGCCTGGTACCTTTTGTAGTGCTGCATCAATTTCCTTTTGTTCAAACTGCATGCGTAGTAACTTTTGTTCTTCAATTCTTCTTTGTTCCTCTTCTTCTCTTGCCTTAGCCATTTGTTCAAATCTAGCTTTCATATTCACTTTATGAGTAAATGGAGCCTCACTTTTTTTTGCAGGCTTGACATCAACATCTTCTTCCTTTATGAAAGTGGGCCAAGAATAGTAATTGCATATTTTCTAGAAACCAACAAGAACTAAAGCAGTACTTCTGAAGATGTCATTTATGGACACAAAATAATCATACCATGTTTGGTTTATTTGTGCTATATACTGCAGCCATGTAGATTTTCACTATCCCCTAATTTGAGAAAAATGAAAGTTTGATTTATGAAACATTCTCTTGACAATTAGAATCCTTTTTTCCCAGTGTAAAGCTACAATGTCATTGGAGTCCCAGGGTATTATTTGCTCAACCAATTCTTTGTGCTAGCTGATAATACTGAATAACAGAAAAGCGTAGGGATGTTATACATTGTTAACTTAAAATACTTCTTGTCACAAGATTGTCCATCATTCTTCACTCTGCTATATAATAGAAAGTGCAATTTCCATTACTTCCCACTTTGTGATTTTCTTCCCCACCCTTCTTAGCTAGTAATTGTCTTTGAAATGAATTCCATCCAACAAAATTTATTGATGGTCAAATGACAGACAAGAGTGTTCACAGAATAAATGGAAGACAACTACTGAAAGAGGCATTGGCTGGAACGTGGGGGAAATCGTTGAAGTATATGGTTAGTCCTCTATATAGGGTGAGAGTTGGAAGCTATGGAAATAATTAAGGAGTAATTTAAGAGCAGAGTTTCAATTGTTAAATAGTGTGAGTGTATACAACAATTTGGTGATGATGGGGTCACTGGTGGCCTTTGAGGGCAGTTTTAGTATAGTGGGTTGTAGGTACAGTTAATTCAGGGTTTCTAAAGTACTTTAGCTGTAGTGGACTCTTGGTTTCTAAACTACCTAGACTTTTATGTCTGGAAATCTCACCATTGATATTTCACAGTATTATGAAGACATTGCCTCAGTGTACCACATCCAACTAAAGTTAGGAAATTTTGAAACAAGCTTTGAAGTAATTGCCTATGTAAGAAAAAATCTTGGTGTGTGGATGTTTTGCATCAGTTTGAGGTATTGTACTCCATTCCAATGAATGTAGAAGGAATTGGATAGTTTTTCTTGTTTTCTGGAATTAGATTTTTATTTAATGTTGGAAAATCCTAGAACATCAGACACAACCAAATAGCTAATGGGTAAATTCTAGTACTCCTGCCATTAATACCAGTGTTTCAGTTTGAAATGATAAACCTAATGCCTATTAATAAACACAATGCAGGACTACAGTTAATTGCTAATATGAATGATGTTGCTGTGGTTTTATTACTAAAAAGGCTAAAAGACATGTTAAACATTGGTTTGGTGCATTCTTAGGGTATTGATACCTACCACATGAATATTAAAGGAAACACAATTGGGTAGTGAACTTGAGATAAAAGAGACGAGAAATGGTTTTGGAGTATGCCTTACTTGGAAAACTAGAAAGTCAAACACTATAAGTGATTTAAATGGGTGGTATGGATTAAGGCTACAAGGAGCTGTGGAATTCTTGGATTAGGGGAGGTTATATGGATGAGGTTACCTTGAAAGATGTCTGGAATACAAACAAGCCGTGTTGAACACAGACATTTTTATTTTTTAATTAAAAAAATTTTTATAATGTTTATTCATTTTTGAAAGCAAGAGAAAGAGTGGGGGTGGGGGAGGTGGACACAGAATCCAAAGCAGGGTCTAGGCTCTGAGCTGTCAGCACAGAGCCTGATGCAGGGCTTAAACCCACAAATAGATAGATCATGACCTAAGGCAAACACTTCACTGAGCCACCCAGGCGCCCCTTTTTGAGAGAAAGAGCACAAGCAGGGGAGGGGCAGAGAGGGAGACACAAGTATTCAAAGCAGGCTCCAGGCTCTGAGCTGTCAGCACAACCTGTCCCAGGGCTTGAACTCCCTAACTGCAAGATCATAACCTGAGCGAGCCAAAGTCAGATAGTCAACTGACTGAGCTACCCAGGCACCCTGAACACAGATTTTTAAAGGAGGAAACCAGATAATATTACCAGATAAGTGCAAAGGGAGTCTTATGCTGGAAGTTGATTGCACTCCATGGCAAAACTATGCCAACAAGTTTTTAAAGGGTATCTCTGACCTTAATCTAGAGAGAAGATAGGAAGGATGTCAGCATCCTTCACAATCAGTGAGGATATCCTCAGGGATTCCAGGAAATCAGACAAGTCCTAATCTGTCCTTTCATACAGAAGAGCCAGTAATAGCAATAAAACAGTCCTCTATCTCATTTTTAATCTTCCCTAAATATCTTGTAGGACTAGGTATGACTACTCTGAGGTTTCACTACCTTTAACAATAAGGTGAGCAAGTGCATGCTGACTGAACTTTAGCTTCCATGATACATTTCTGTAAAAACTGCTCTTGTGGCCAACTATTAAATGTTGGTGTTCTCCAGTTTTACTATTCACCTTCCAACTATTAACCCTTTAAATATAGCTTTACTCTGATATGTTTAAATACTATTTATGATAGTTACAATCTATATAATTCCAGTCTCTTGCCTGAACTCAGTACCTATGTTTCAGACTGCTTTTATCTTATCCCAATATAGTTCAAACTTCATGTGTCCAAAACTATTCATCCTACCATCTCCAGACTGAATTCTCTGTAGTATCATCTAGTTAGTTTCTCTGGTAATCTTAATGTTGGGCTGGGCTTCTCAGTAACCACCTGCCCATAAACAGCCTGTTTCCCAGTTTGGTTAAAAGTTGGGTCCATTTTATCCCTGGATCCCAACTTAATGCCCTATTCCTTTCTTCTTCATTCTCTCTGATACCAGATTTCTTTAAAAACAAGCTTTTTATTATTCTGTCCTAAAATGATTACTAACATTGTTCCCGAATCACAGTCCCTGCAAGGTTAAAAAGACCCAGTACCAACTAGCCACTACTTTTACAACTTTATTCTATTACCCATTATTCTATGAACCATGCCTTTGAACAAATTTTCCATTCCCCAGACACATTTTCACAACCTTTATGTAAAGGCTGTAAACGGACTCCCGTCTCCAATCTGGAATGTTTCCCCTCTTTAACTGCAAGTTCTAGTTAACCACACTTTGCTTAAATGCCATTTTCTCAGCCCTGTGAAACTTCTAGGAATACTGAGTCCATCCTATTTGACCCTACAACATTAAATATACAACTCCTATTTTAGCACTTAAGTTATAATTATTTTCATACATCTCATTAGGCTGAACTTTTTGAGGGCATATATTCACTTACATGAACCCAAGACTGAACACCAGGCCCAGCATAGATGTTAGCAATAGCATTTGCTTCTAGCAGTGACAGTAAACCTTAAGGTTTAGTGTGCATCGCACAGAGTTCAAATGCAAATCAGCTTCACTGATGAATACCTGATGTTCCACAGCATCTCCATTTGTCTAAAATAGCTTATGATTTCCTTCCAAACTCTATTCCCATATTACTTTTGTTCGTGTATACCCACTTCAGTTCATTCTTCCCTCTCCTCATCTCTACCACCATCCCCGAGTCTTCTCAAGTTTCATATCCTACACATTTATCTATTTTCTCTATTTGACTTCTAGTTCAAGTTCCTCATCAGGCCTCTGACCACCCTGTACAAAAAGTAGTATCCTACTTTGTTAATTTCCATAGCTCTTACTTACTACTCAGTAATTGTTTTCCATCCTCCCTACCTGTTAGGTTCTAAACACTACGGAGCAAGGACTGCAGGTTTATTCAGTGTACTCCCAGTATCCAGAACAGTTCCTGGAACATAATAGCCATTCAAATAATTTTTTAATGCATGAATCTAAAACCATCTTTAGCTCCACTATGATCTAGGTATAAAGATGCCTATTTGATAATATCTCCATGTTTTAAAGATTCCTTCAATGAACAATAAAACAAAGTTCCTTAACATTTAAGACCTTCCATGACCATCTTGCCTGCGTTTGCATCTTCATCATTATCTTTGTTGTTCCTATACTGTTTGCTTTAATAATAATGAATTGCTTACAGTGCAAAGAATTTGCACATAATTTTTTCATTCTTTTAATTCACAGTCTCCCCTGAAGGCCCTCCCAACTTCCCACACTTACCTTATTGAATATTTAATAATGAGAAGAACATAAATGCTGTTAGGTATTATAAAATGGCAATTCTGGCAGAAAAAAATTTCCAGATCCTACTTAAAGCAGTACTCATAGTCATGGAACTAGATCTTATGCTGGAAGGAACATTACAGGTTATTTAGTAATTGCCTCTTTTTTAACATATGGAGGTACTTCTAATTCATGTCATCTCAATTCTAATTTAGGCTCTGCCACTGAATTATTGGCATGACTTTGAGATCATTAGGCTTTATTTGTCTCATCTTTAAATACAAAAGTAAATATCTAGAATTTCTTTTAAGTTATATGTACACTGGTTCTACTGATTCAAACTAAAACTTCTGCCAGTAAATACATTTAAACTGTTATTTCCGGAGTGACCTACCTGATGTTCATTCACAATAAGCGGCTTTAATTCTGATAACAGCCATTTTGAACAATGCTAGAGTGAGGAAATCTTTCAAAGTCTCTTGAGATCTTAATATGCTTTTGCTACTTAGTTCCCAGATAATATTGTATACATCTATGGTTAATTGTAAGTACCAAAACTTATTCAAAGTCCATGTTACATTTATACCATGACTGTTAAATACAAAATAGTATATACCTCATGAAAGTTTTCTGCTTCTCGCTCTTTAATTTCAAGGTCAATTGCTCTCCTTTTTGCTCGTTCTTCTTCTATCTTTTTCTGGATTTCTTTTTCAGACAGTTGTCCAATTTTTTCAAACTTGCTTTTTAAATTTTTAGCTTGAATAGAGCCACTTCTTTTCAATTTTATTAATTCTTCATATTCCCTACTCAGTTCAAAGGTTTCATGTTCTTCCTCTTCCTTCAAAAAAGTTTTTATATATTAAATACCAGAGAATTAGTTTGTACAATAAACCATCCAAAAAGCGTTCATTTCTTTTCTTTTGTTTATTTGTTTTTTTAGTGTTTATAATGTTGAGAGAGTATGTGTGTGAACAGAGGGGCAGAAAGAGAGGGAGAGAGAGGATCCCAAGCAGGTTCTGTGCTGTCAGTGCAGAGCCCAACACAGGGCTCAAACTCAGGAACCATGAGATCATGACTGGAGCCAAAATTGAGTTGGATGCTCAACCAACTGAGGCACCTAGGCACTCCCAAAAAGTGTTAATTTCTTATTTGAAGCCAAAAATAAAGTTTAAATAACCTCCTCCATAAACACAATGCCTAAATTTACTGATTAAAAGTAATGCATATGGGCATCTGGGTGGCTAAGTCGGTTAAACTCATCACACTCTTGATTTCAGTTCAGGTCATGGTCACAGTTTGTGAGTTCAAGCCCCATGTCGGGCTCTGCACTGACAGCACAGAGCATGCATGGGATTCTCTCTCTCAAAATAAACTTAAAAAAATGTAATGCTTCAAATTTAAGACTTTAGATAACATTTAAAATATTTCATTATGGGCGCCTGGATGGCTCAGTTATTAAGCATCTGACTTCAGCTTGGGTCATGATCTCATGGTTCATGTGTTCAAGTCCCACATCAGGTGACCTTAAGCCCCACTTCAGGTGAGCATGAGCCCCGCTTTAGATAAAAACAGGAGATTTGCTTCAATGAGCCCTGCTTCTCTGTCTCTGTCTCTCTCTGCCCCTTGCTCATTTGTGCCTTCCCTCTCCAAAAACATAATAATGATAATATTTCATTACAGCTCAAAACATAATTTAAGATTCCATTATAACTCTATTATAACTAGAATATGCATATCAGGATTAACTTTTACTAGGAACTATAGGAAAATTTTTGCTTAGGAGAAGATGAAGAACTGTAATTAAAAGAACATGACTGGGGGTAAGATCTAAGTTCTAGTTCTGACTTTGATACTGTATGGCCTTTGCCTGGTCACTTAACCCACTAGACATGATTTTTTCATCTCTGTATAGAGCCAGAGTATCCGAAAATTCCTCCTGTCTTTTTTTTTATGATAGTCTAATAAAGTTAAATATCACTTAATACTCAAGTGAATGAAGCCTTTCTAAAATACAGTCTGGCCAAATCCCTACATTTTGATACATATCACTTTTACTCTATTTTATATTCTGCCATGAAAGAAAAGGAGTCAAACCAAAATTGGGCTCCCAATTCTTTAGAGCATTTAAAAAAAAATTTTTTTTTAATGTTTATTTATTTTTGAGACAGAGAGAGACAGAGCATGAACAGGGGAGGGTCAGAGAGGGAGACAAAGAATCTGAAACAGGCTCCGGGCTCCGAGCTGTCAGCACAGAGCCCGATGTGGGGCTCGAACCCACGGACCGCGAGATCATGACCTGGGCCGAAGTCGGACGCTCAACTGACTGAGCCACCCAGGCACCCCTCTTTAGAGCATTTTATCTTAAATACTTTTTACTCAAGTTTCCCTTGGCTTTTCACAATTTATTCCTAGTTCTTTGTATATTTCTTACACTAAACCCTAATCTCACTATATGAAGTGGTTTAAAAAATTGCAGTTATTCCTGATATACTTTTCCTGGAGAAGACCTAAAGTCCTAGGTGTGGAGCGGGGGTAGTAGGGAAGGAAAATGAAGGAGGGGAAGGATGGGATCACAGTGGATGATGTGACGTGAGGCTTAATTTCTTGGTTCAACCAAAGGGATGAAAGAGAAAATTTATTCCTTTATATTACCCTCCACGTTTTGGTCTCTGAGGGTCCAAACTGACAACTCCTAAAATACCAGAAACCTAACAAATTTGTGATATACCTCATATTACAGTGGTTCCCAAGTCATTCTGGTCAAATGAACTAATTAGCTGCAGTGCAGATGATCGTGGAACTGGTGTGCTACTCGCTTGGAAACACTTAGACGTAGTAGGGTAAGTCACTCAGTAGCACCAAAATGTCAGTTACATACTGCCTTATGTTAATTAGAATCCATCTCAGTGTACTAAAATATAATTTACAAGTTTTTCTAAATGATTCATTTTCAGCTTCCTTTATAAAATAAATGCTATTACATTTAAAAAACTTTAAGGCAAGGGGTGCCTGGGTGGCTCAGTCGGTTAAGCATCCAACTTCAGCTTAGGTCATGCATGATCTTGCAGTTTGGGAGTTCCAGCCCTGCATCAGGCCCTGTGAGGATCATTCAGAACCTGGAGCCTGCTTCAGATTCTGTGTCTCCCTCTCTTTCTGCCCCTCCCCTGCTCATGCTCTGTTTCTGTCTCTCTGTCTCTCAAAAATAAATACACATTAAAAAAATTATAAAGAAAAGTAAAATATTTTAAGGCTAGACCTTGGAATATTTTTCTACAGCATATTCATGATACTTTATTATTACCTATATGTTTATATAGTATTTATAGTCTCTTGATTGGCTAGGGCAAGGAAGTAAATAACCCCACAGGCCCATTGTCTTAACCCATAACAAAGAAGGTAACTTCTAAGAGACTGCAATGTCTGCATAGGTCACAAGCTGGCAAGAAGTCCCCATCAAGTTGCCCACCATACATGCCGTGTCATTGCCAGTCTTAGTCTGGGACAGCCACTGTTCATCTCACCCCAAGTCATGTTCATCCCCAATTCTCATGCTGCTGCCAGGAGCTTCCTCATCAGAAGCTGAGGGTGACAGTGGAATGCTGGCCCCCTCTTCTGGCTACACAACTGGCCATCCAGATGCAGGGTGGCAGCTGTGGGAAGGAAAAGGTTAGGCAGGGCCTTAGAGCACCAGGAGGTAGAAAAAGGGCTTCTGAGAATGCACCATAGGGAGGCAGGGGACAGAAGAAGGTTTGAGTGAGCCAAAGCTCTAAAACTCTAGCACATACTCCACTGTCCAGTCAGCTTTCACTTACATACAAATTCAAAGACAAGATTATTAAAATCTTAATTTTTAAATTTTATTTTAATTAAATTTTTAAATTAAAAATCAAGATTGGCCAGGTGCCTAGCTGGCTCAGTCAGAAAAGCATGTTACTCTTGATCTTGGGGTCGTGAGTTCAAGCCCCATGTTGGGTGTAGACATTGCTTAAATAAAACTTAAAAAAAATTTTTTTTAATAAATAAAAATCAAGATTGGCAACCTTAGAGCATTAAATCTTATGCATGGCCTATTTGAGCATATAGGGCCCTGTGACGGCACAAGTTGCCTGCCCATGAAGCTGGCCCTGTACAGTCCTGTGTTTATATACATATATATTTGTATATATCTTTAATTCATTTCAGTACTAGAGAAATCATACTAAAATATTTAACATCAAAGTCCTATCTTCTAATTTAGTAAAATAAAATTATTCAAAAACTTGCCACACTGATGTTCTAGTATCCATGGTACTCTTGTAATTTTATTTTGACTAATCAGTTTAATTCTGTTTGTTTCAAGAAAAATAAGCATAAATGAGTATATTAAACACTTTAGGAAACAATTCTCAATCATAATGTGACCGCACAATTGTGAGGTATTTAGGAAGAAATATTTACTTAAGGTAATCACTTGCAATCATTTGTTTTATTATTTTAATGTTTATCCATTTTTGAGAGAGCACAAGCAGGGGAGGGGCAGAGAGAGAGGGGAACAGAGGATCCCAACATGGGGCTCAAATCCAAGAACCAAACCCACAAACCATGAGATCATGACCTGAGCTGAAGCTTGATGCTTAACTGACTGAGCCCCCCAGGTGCCCTGCATCATAAGTGATTTAAATTAGTAAGGAAGAAACAGAGTTCTATCAGGCTAGAAAGCGCACATAACTGTGCTGAAACTTGTACCAAGCGCCTCATAGTATGATGAGTGTCCTTTATGTGAATAATAATACTCAGAAAGTTATTGTAAGATACTATATGTAAACATTTGGAAGAAAAAAAATGGATATTTCCACATTTATAAACATTTGGAAGAAAAAAAAATGGATATTTCCTAAAATCTCACCTCTCCCATTTCTTGTCTCAGTTGTTCAAATTCCTGTTTTTCCATCTCTAGCTTATGCTTCCTTTCTTCCTCCGTTCGTCGTTTTTCTTCTTCCATTTTTTGTTTTAATAATTCTTCAAAATTAATTTCCAGTTTTCCCGGTGTAAGAGATTCTTGAGAAATTGTTTTATACATCTCTGGGAAGTCATCATCTACTACCTATTTAAAATAAGTCTCTTATTACTCTTTCCAAAATTACACATACTAAAAAGGGGAATTTTTTTTTGTAGAAACTGTGATTACTTGAGTAAAAAGGTTTCACCCTGAACTAAAAATTTGAAGACCTAAATCTCTTCAAAAGTATAAAACAATAAACAAGGTAAAAAATACTAGAAAATGTAAGGTGTTTTTGTGGCTACAGAGGAAACGGTGACCATCTGTTCTCCATTCCAACAAACACAAATCCTTTGACTTTGTATTATGAGTAATTCGAATTAGACATTAAGATTTTATAATACTGAGAACACTTTCTACGTGAAGTAAAATGAATTTCCATTTTGGTGATTAAAATGAGCATTTCGCAGCTAAATCATGGTTTTGTCTGAATGAATTAAATAACCCATCAGGATTCCTTCATAGTCAGGTAAAAATCACTCTTAATGCTGTAATTTTATTGTATTTAATGCTAACAATAATAGTTAATACTCAGAGCTGCCATGTAAAATTCTAAGCACTTTATATGGATGAGGAAACTGAGGCACTGAAAAGTAACTTGTCCAAAGTCAACACAAATATTAAGTGGCAAAGGTGGTATTCAAAACTTCAAAAGTCTAATAAAATTATAAATAATGATTTAGACTTTTTGTAATTTCATGAATTACATGTCTAATTGCCATTTATTTATGACCTTGGGCAAGTTACCTAGCCTCTGTGAGTTTCCCCATTTGTGATGACTTTTCATACAGTTGTCAGGAGAATCAAATAAAATTTGGAAACACTTAGCAGTATGCCTGACACCCAATGGTAAGCTCCCAATGGCAGTTTTATTATTACATTAGCATTCCCTGTAATAAAGGCAATCCCTAAATTGCAAATAGAAACTTTGCAATCCAAAGACTGCCCCAAATTTTTACTAATATATTAGTTAACTGAGCTATAATACAAAATTAAAATATGGCCCTGGATAAGAAAACAACATAAATAAAGGAATTAGTTTTTTCTTTCCTGATACAGAAATATCTCTAGGAAACTAGAGTTTGGGTTTAATGCAGTTTTCTTTCCCTGCACTTTTTCCACTAGTGAATCCTGGCAGTTTCAGCCTAAAAATCTGACCCTGGGACTAGATCTCCTGATCTTTACAACTACTTCTTGTCTATCACTTCTGAACCTGTTTATTCTCCAAAAAATTAAGTGCCTTCACAAGGTTTATAGGGTTTCTGTGTAGAAATCATTTGTGAATCAAGGATTATCTTGTAATACATATAAGATAGTTTTAAGGGGCACCTGACTGACTCTGTTAGTACAGCATGAAACTCTTGGTCTTGGGGTTGTCAGTTCAAGCCCCATGTTGGGGGTAGAGTTTACTTAACAAATAAAAAATTAATTTTTAAAAAAAGTTTTAATATATTCCGCAAACATTTATAGGCAATTTGTTACACTAGAATGCATTGTGCCACATGCCAGATGAACAGTCTCAGCCTCATGAGTGAGAAAGGCAGCTGTAAGCAACAACAATACAGTTTTAGTGCTATGCCAGGGAAGTACTAAATGCTGTAAGAATGTATAGAAGGAACATGTCTTTGGAACTTGTATTCTCAGGAAAGGCTTCCCAAAGGAAACAGAATATATGAAAAAGAATTAGAGCATAGGGAAAGGAAAGAGGGACATGTTTCATTTAGCATTAATGAAGGTCCAGAGATGGATGAGAGCACAGTATTTTGAAGAAACTGGGAGAAATTTAGTATGTCTGGAAAAAAGATGAAGAATCAAGAAATGAAGCTGGAAAAATACACCAGGGCAATATTATAAAGAAACTTGTTTTAAATTTTTTTAGATTTTTTTTTTAATTTAGATTTTTGCTTAAGGGGAAGTAGAAATTTTTTTTCTTTTTTTAATGTTTATTTATTTTTTGAGAGAGGGATAGAACTTGAGTTGGGGAGGGGCAGAGAGAGAGGGAGACACAGAATCTGAAGAGGCTCAAGGCTCTGAGCTGTCAGCACAGAGCCTGATGTGGGGCTCAAACTCACAGACCACAAGATCATATCCTAAGCTGAGGCTGAATGCTTAACCAACTGAGCCACCCAGGCACTCCTTTCTTTTTCTTTTCCTTTTTTTTTAAGTAGGCACTACATCCAATGTGGGGCTTGAACTCACAACCCTGAGATCGAGAGTCAGATACTCTACCAACTGAGCCACCCAGATGCCCCAGAAAGGGAAAATTTTTAAGCAAAACAGTAACACAAAATTTACTTGAAAAGAGAGAGAAAGATCACTCTTGGCTTTACAAGGAAGAATGGATTATAGGCAAGAAAACAAGTTAAACAGGAGTTAGTCTGAAGCTAGAGATAATTGACCTGGGAGGAGATAGGTGGCCCTAGAAAAGGATAACTATAGTAGTAGAAATGAGGGGAAAATTGATAGATTTTTAGAGTGATTTAGAAGATAGAATGAATAAAACTTAATGAATGATTGGATGTGAGGCATGAATGAGAAGGTTGGAAGTGTTTAAGGCTCCCAACTTTCTGATTTGAGCATCTGGATTGGTGATGATGCCAAATAAAAACGTGGATGGATATATGTGCCTGAAGCTCCCTTAGACATAGTAAGAAAACCAGGTCATATCATTGAAGCCAATTAAAATGTTTCAAGAAGGGTCAGGGGTGCCTGGCTGGCTCAGTCGGTAGAGCCTATAACTCTTGATCACAGGGTTATGAGTACAGTCAAGCCCCATATTGGGTGTAGAGCCTACTTAAAAAAATGGTTTGGCGCATCTGCCTGGCTCAATGGGTGGGCTGTATGACTCTTGATGTTAGGGTTGTGAGTGTCAGCCCCATATTGGTTGTGGAGGTTACTTAAAAATAAAATTTTTGAGGGGCGCCTGGGTGGCGCAGTCGGTTAAGCGTCCGACTTCAGCCAGATCACGATCTCGCGCTCCGTGAGTTCGAGCCCCGCGTCGGGCTCTGGGCTGATGGCTCAGAACCTGGAGCCTGTTTCCGATTCTGTGTCTCCCTCTCTCTCTGCCCCTCCCCCGTTCATGCTCTGTCTCTCTCTGTCCCCAAAATAAATAAACGTTGAAAAAAAAAATTAAAAAAAAAATAAAATTTTTGAAAATGTTTCAAGAAGGGGATGCAGCATTCACATCAGCTTGCTTGAAAATAAAGTTTGTCAGATAACTGTACATTTTACAAACATTAAAATCGTATAAGGAGTGTAACTCTGTGACAGAATTAAGTTTGGTAGCAATATCCAGAAGTGATGGGTGAGTATTTTGGAGAGTTAAACAATTGTGATTAAATGGCTTTGACCATTTAATATATACTGGATGGAATGGAAAGTGAAACAAAAGAAGGAAAGGAAGGAGGGAGGGAAAGAGGAAATGTGGGAAAGGAAAGAAGAATGGAGAGAATAGAAGAAAGGGTGAGGGTAGGAAACTCCCTGCTTACATACTTACTTCTGGAAAACATACCTTCCCAGAGAAGGAAGACAATATTCAATCATCTATGCCAGGCATAGCAATTTAATCAGAACCTTCTCAACATTACATTGAAGCAAACACCTTTAACTGACTGGTTTTATGCCACAGGAGACTTTAAAAACGTATTTGCTATCCCTACTTTTGAAACTTTCCTGAAATAATAGAGTATTCACCAAAGTTTAATTATTTATCTTAACATACTCTTTAATTTTTTTTTTAATTTTTAAAAAATTTTCTAAGTAATCTCTACACCCAACATGGGGCTTGAACTCACAATCCTGAGATCAAGAGTTGCATGTGCTACTAGAGGCAGCTAGGCACCCTGTCTTAACATACGCTTAAAAAGCTGAATCCT